TGCAGTAAAAAGGAACGTGTCCACACACTGTGCCTTTGTTGAATTAAACAAGAGCAAGGGGACAATAATTCGCTGGTGCAGTCCAGTGGTAACACCTCAACCAATCAGAGCTGATTTGCCAATCAATCTGCCCCTTTTTTCTCATGTACCATAAATTGTTCATCCCTTTGAAATCTGGCATTCTTGCATTTGTCCTGATGAGTGCAAGAAGAAAAGCTTTGGTATCATGTTTATTGTTACAGCAGTAAACCACCTCTTTCTAACTGATGGTATTTTAATCAATGTTGTATGGGTTAACACCAGAGTTACAGTAAGACAAAGAGCAAAGTCTAAGTTTCCACGGAAAATAAATGCTGGCCAGATTTTTGCCCAGGGACAGACAAAAGAGCTGTGCCTTATTTCTGATTGCCTCATTTGTGAATGGTTCAATGATACACAAATAGAATGAAAGGATTTCAATAAAGCATTTGGAGAAAATGCCAGGAACCCATCAGCCAAATTGTGTGTGATTTGTGTGTTCCATTATAAAGATGGGTTTGTCAGGTTATACTGCAAATTGTTGGCACAGAACGTATGACAGAACCATGATAATTGGAAGTCAAGTATGGTGCTGACAGGAAATGCACCAGAACCTGAGTATCCACGAGTATACTTTGGATTTTGGCAATGCCTAAAATCAACCATAGTGATTCAAAAGTCTGTGGGATTTCAAAGGCAGGTTCTTGCAGTGCAAATCGTCTTTTGCACCTTTTTTTTTGAAAAGACATGCCTTAGGTCATGCACTTTGGTAAGAAGAATAAAAACATGGACTATTTTCTAAATGGGGAGAAAATCCAGAAGTCTGAAGTGCAAAGAGTCTTCGGAGTTCTAGTCCAGGATTCTCTCAAGGTAAACTTGCAGGTTGAGTTAGCAGTCAGGAAGGCAAATGTAATGTTGGCATTTATTTTGAGAGGACTTGAATATAAAAGGAGGGATGTACTACTGAGGCTTTATAAGGGTCTGGTCAGGCCACATTTGGAGTATTGCGTGCAGTTTTGGGCCCCATATCTCAGGTAGGATGTACTGGCCCTGGATTGGGTTCAGAGGAAGTTCACAAAAATGGTCCCAGGAATGGAAAGCTTAATATGTGAGGAACGTTTGAGGACTCTGAGTCTATACTCATTGGAGTTTAGATGGATGAGGGAGGATCTAATTGAAACTTTCAGAATACTGAATAGCCTGGACAAAGTGGATGTTGGGAAGATGCTTCCATTGGTAGCAGAGTCTAGGACCCAAGGGCACAGCCTTAGAGTAAAGGGAAGACCTTTTAGAACGGAGATAAGGAGAAACTACTTCACCCAGAGAGCGGTGAATCTATGGAATTCACTGCCACAGAAGGTTGTGGAGGCCAGGTCATTTGAGTACATTTAAGACTGAGATAGATAGGTTCTTGATTATCAAGGGGATCAAGGGTTATGGGGAGAAAGCAGGAGAATGGGGTTGAGGAACTTATCAGCCATGATTGAATGACGGAGCAGACTCAGTGGGCTGAATGGCCTAATTTCTGCTCCTATATCTTATGGTCTTATGAAACCAGCCCCGCCCCCAAAAAATGGCCAAGCCCAGATCAACTTACAGATATTTGGGGCCATTTGTGGGATGTTGGAAAAGTGTGCAAAAATTAACATTCTTTTCAGGTGCAAGGGCGCCAATAGGCACATCTTAAAAGCTTTTAAGTCTTGTCAAGTATCTAATTCATGAATAAACCTGCAAAAGTAGTAAAAATTGAAATAACTGCAGATGCTGGAAGTCAGAAAGAAGAACAGAAATTTCTGGAAATCTGAGTTCTGACGAAGGGCCACTGGACCCGAAACGTTAATTCTGATTTCTCTCCATAGATACTGCCAGACCTGCTGAACTTTTGCAGCAATTTCAATTCTTGCAGCAAAAGTAGTAAATGGTTCTGGATAGTTTATAGTATTGGCAGTGATTTTAAAATCACAGGATTAGAACCGTTGGTTTTAAAAGCTTATTTTTGTGATAAACTCATTTTCTGCCCCAGTGATAAACCTGCACCAAGTTACCATTCTTAAATATAATCAAATATTGTTCTTAATGTTCGGGAGAAAAAATTCATCGAATTGCAAAACACTGTTAGATTGTGTTGGCTCATGGGAAATTTTGCATTCAGCAATATGCAAATAGTTTCAAGCAGAAATGAGCAAAACATTTAATCCAGAAAATGACTGGTATTTTGAGTTCATTTTACAACCAGATCACTGACTGTAGCTCTGAAATTGTGTAATATTTCACGTATGAGATATAAAGGGAAAGAAAGGAGCATCACCACATCATGATGAGGTCTAACAGATTAAGAGAAAGATTGCCAGGTCTGTTATTATTCTGTATTTGAACTGGGCTACGCTTGGTGTTAATTGACATGTTCTTAAATACAATGGAATTTGTGTCTGAACACTCCAAGACTTTCACAAGTGCTCAAGGTATTTGAAATCAATAGTAACAGCAAAAAGAAGGGAAGTGTGAAATTACACTGCATAAAGACTTGTATCTACCAAATGCTACAATAAGGTTGAAAGGTCAGAAATAAAATACCAGATGTCTTGGTTCAAACTCTGGTCTGCCAACTGTCTGCCCCAGGCTAGAAGAATAAAACAGAACCTGGTTCTGGAGCCAAAACCTATTCCTTTCTACAATTGATAAATAAAGCTCTACATCTTTTCTGATGTCTTGGCAATGTTTCCGCCTTCCAACTACATGCTTTTAGCAGATTAGCTTTTCACCCAAAAAAATGGTAATTTTTCTTTCTCTTGTAATTGGGCTTCAGGAGTTTGGAAGTAGTTGCCAGGATGTATTTATTAACAGAAAGATTTGAAATGCTTGCTCCTATCTGACACGTCAATCAGTTGGAATGAGTCTCAATGAAGTGTCCAGGGAGCCACAGCAATCCAAACACTTAGACTTTATTGTACATGACACTCTAATTGTCTAGCCAATGCCTTGTGGCTCATTAGTGAATGCTTGAATCAATCATGGTTACAATTGTTTTTCTGCCACTATTGCAGTAGATATTTTTCCTAACTGATGTTATCTCTGTGTGCCAAAACTGATTGAGTCAATGTGAACAGTTTTGTGAATTCTGTATCTGATTCATGGAAAATTTGTAGCACAAATGCAAATTGATGATGTGCATACTTAAAGGGGTAATTTTCCAGGTATAAAGCAGAGAATGATTATCTGGTTGTGCCCCTCGGTCAGATAGTGAGTTTTCAGTGCCATATTGCAGCAATGACGACTTACATCTACATGGCACCTTTAACAGAATAAAACATCCCAAGGTAATTCACAGGAGAGCTATTGGACAAAATTTGACCAAGTCAAATTTGAGGAGACATTAGGGTCACGTGACCAAAATCAGGTTAATTGTGCAGCTTTTAAGGAGCAATGTTAAAGGAGGAGAAAAAGGTAGAAAGGTTTAGGGTGGTAATGCTAATCTTTAGGGCTTTGGGAAATGAAGCATGACTTACAGTGATGGAGCAATTAAAATTGAGGATGCTCAAAAGGCCAGAATTTGAGGAGTGTGGAGATCTCAGAGGGTCATGGGACCCTCTCTGTGTGAATTAATGCAGGGATTTAGAAACAAAAATTAATATGTTACAGGTATGAAATGAACAGAGATGCTTTACTGTAGGCAAGAATGGGGGAGTTTTAATAACTCACTCATCCAAAGCAGCATAATTGGCATTACCACTTCCTTACCTTTGCGTTAAACTTTGTATTTGCGCTTCAGAAGATGTCAAACTTGTGCTGTTACCTAAAATCTAAACTCACTTAAGTGTTTATCTTTTAATTTTTAATCAAGATTATATTTTTCCTTTTCAGGCTATTAGTGCAGAACCCCTCTCAGTGTGTAGTAGGAGACAGCAGTGCTGCAGTTCATTATAACCAGTGCATTTACATCAGAGGTTCTGCTAAAATCTAATTGAAAAAATCAAAGGAGTTGGGCAAAATCAATGTCAAAATACATGAAGGTGAGTCTGGAAAAATGTTTAACTTACTAACTGGCTCACATTATTGGATTTAATTTTATCAACCAATAACAGGTGTCTATGTTCTATAACAGGTCAGTGAAATTCTTGAAGTCAATTCATGGTTTTGTTTGTTTGGTTTAAATTGACTTAAGTGACTTGCAACCAACCTCGCAATGGACTCCTCTCAAACAGATTGCGTAACTCAGACAGAATGATATATTGCATACAAAACTGTTCCCTTGAACATCAATGGTACTGAGGAAACTTGCCAGGCGTATAATCATTTCTTGAAAGAGTACAGAGATCTCTACTGCATGGGGTATTGTCTGAGAATGTAAAACGATGAATCATATAGTCATGTGGTGACAAAAGCATTCTGCCCATGGTGAGCAGAACTCTGTAATCAAATGGCGCTGGCTGCTGAGTAATTGTATTAACATATATTGTACCATTATCACCAAATAAAGGCAAATACTTGGAACATAAGAAGGAGGAGCTGGTATGGACCATATGGTCCCTTGAGGCTGCTCCACCATTTAATATGATCTTGACTGATCTTCTACCTTAACTCCACTTTGTCAGCTGCTACCCATATCCCTTGATTCCCAGACAGACTCCTCTATCCTGTATTCGTGGTCACGTGTTTCTTCTATCAAATCAATCCAATGGACCCAGATTCATTCAAACAAAAGATTTCTTTCAGGAAACAATATTTTGGGGACCAGTACATACATCATTTGGGGGATGACGTGTAGTGAGTGTGGTTTGGGAGGACCCTACAGTTCCTGATGCACTCAACCACCTCACTCATTTCTGGGTCAGTTGTGGACTCATTGATAGTGATTGATCACTGTGATTGATCAGTGACCCTATCAGGCTGTTGGAGATTGAGCAAGATGAACTTTGGATCTTTCTGTGTCTAGCAGTTCCTACAAGACTGGGAAAAGCAGCTAATGTACCAATATTCTCTACCTGTAGTTTTCTTTTTCACTTGCCACTTGCATCTTCTCATAGAAGGAATAGGCCTGGTTTCCCTCCCAGTCTCTCAGATCAATTCTCAGTGAGTACTGTCGCCGGTTTGTTTGAAGGAAGATCATCTCATTGCCGAGCCAGTATTCTCCAGCTGGATTCCCAAAGCCCTACCAAAAAAGCATAACAAACAATGTCTGTACACCAGCTCAAACATTCAAGGGAAGACATTTGTTCCATCAACAAAAAGCACAAGGTGCATTCTTTGCAAGTGCATGAACAATTTCACAGAACTTGATGCTGGTGTGATGTCTCCTGCAGAAAGATGTTCAAAACAAGGGCTGTGGATGTGGCATTTCCTGCTACACATTGGCAGCTGAAGGCAGTTCAGGGTCCAATCCACGGTTTCTACATTTTTTTAAAAATGGATATTAAGTGAATACTGGAAATCTGAAACAAGAAAAAGAAACATTGGAACTGAGTTCCAATACAGGGTTCATTCCAGAATGTTAACCTATCTTGTCTCTTTTGGATTCTGCCTGAACTGGTGTGAAATTCCAACATTTCCTGTTTAATTGTCATTCGTCTGCTGTTTAACACCTAAAATCTAGCCATCAAGCATAGAGACAAGTAATCATACCTCACAGGAGACCATTTAGCCCACCTTGTTGTGCCAGCTCTTTGAAAGAGCTAACCAATTTCCCTGCTCTTTCCTGGCCATTCTAATATTTCCCTTCCCAGTCTTTATCCAATTCTCTTTTGAAAGTTACTATTGGTATTATTACTTCCACTGTCCTTCTCAGACAGTACATTCCAGATCTCAAGAGATTACTGAATAAAAATCATTCCATACACATCCCCCTTATTCTTTTGCTAATTGACTTAATTCTACATCCTCTGCTGATTGACCCTCCTGTCAATAGAAACAATTTCTTCCCAATTCCTCAAATTAAAGCCTGCATTTTGTTTATACATACCCCTTATTAAATACCTCTCTTAAGCTCCTCCAAGAAGAACAATCCCAGTAGGTTGTAAACTAACAAAAAACTTATCTTTCTTTGGTAAATTTAATGTTGGAAAATTTACCCAAGGAACTTCACAGAGAGGATATTAGTCCAAGACAGATGGTGAATCGATAATCAGATTTTAGGAGGGGCAAATAAAGCTTGCTGAAAGCTTTAAGAAAGATCTGAATGGGAGGATTACAGAGAAGAGAAGATACAAGAGAGAATTCCAGAGCATGGGGTCTACACAACTGAAGTCATGGCATCCACTGCTGGGGCAATAAGAGTTGGGTAGATGCAAAAGAAAGCTAAGATGGAGGAATGTGGAGTTTTAAGGCAAAGTGAGGAAAATGTAAACAAGAATGTGAGCCAAAGCAACATTAAACTCAATTCAGAGAGGTTAACCACAATGGTGAGGGTGAATAACAATCTAGCATATGGGAGTTAATTACAATAAATAGATCAGAACAAGAACATTCCTTCAGGGAACCAGAGTAACTATGAAATATAACTCTGGTTAAAATATATTTCTTTGTGCTTATTTCCTTTTTTATCTTGTAGAGTTCAACCCGACATAAGCTCATTGTAAGTTGCCAACTTGGAACTGTTAAATGGTTTTAGATGTGTCACGCTCTACATGATAAGTTTGATGAGCACAAATTGTACAAGACAGGAGACCACAGAACTTTTCAGAGTGAATACTGAGATTGTTCTGGGGCAAAGAGGTGGGGGGGGGCAAATGAAATTTTAACCCTCACCAAATCCAGGCTCAAACCAAATTGACCCTGGTGTGATTTAACCCTGCTCAATCTCACTGCCTCCATGTGGACTCCTCCTTCACCTGTTTTTTTTAATCATAGAATCCCTACAGTGTGGAAACAGGCTCTTCAGCCCAACAAATCCACACCGACACTCGGAGCATCCCACCCAGACCCATCCCCCTATAACCCACCTAATCTACACATCCCTGAACACTACTGGCAATTTAGCATGGCCAATTCACCTAGCATGCACATCTTTGGACTGTGGGAGGAAACCGGAGCACCCAGAAGAAACCCATGCAGACACGGGAGAATGTGCAAACTCAACACAGACTGTCGCCCAAAGGTGGGATTGAACCTGGGTCCCTGGTGCTGTGAGGCAACAGTGCTAACCACTGAGCCAACATGCCACCCCTGAGTAGACAAGAGGGACACCCAGAAGGCAATGGGGACTTTCTTTAAATGCGCAATTTATATCATCAGGGACACCTCACCATTCCCCAGTGAGATCATCTGAGTCCTATGTTCAATTTTCAGAAAGAAGACCAAGCCACTTAACAATGCACCATTCATCAATGAATGCTTAATAAATTTGAAAATCTGAAATGAGGTAAAGAGATACAGTTAAATTCTACTTAAAGGTAACATTTAGTTAACAACCTTATACCAATGCCTGGTCAACAATAGCATTGATGAAAGTTAGCCAATCTTTCAACTAAAGCAATAAATGTATCATTTTTTTCTGAAATTACAGATCATTTCCTTCCATGTGTCTATTAAGAAAACTTGCCAAGATTTTACATTACTAACATTAACCCAATAAAACAAACAATTTAGATATGGATTCAGGCAGGTCTCCATAGTGCAATCATTAAAATGGATGAGGGTATCAAGTTACACAGCCATTACAATATTATTCAAGTGTATCTCAAGGAAGTCTTCAGCGATGATCTTGTTCTTCCGTTCTTGCATCAGAGACTGACAGCACTTGTTTCCACAGCTGCTTCCATACTCTATTGTATTTACCATAGCTGTGAACATAGGGTATTGTATAGGCAGTAGTAACCTATCTCTGATTCAGATAACCTGGGTTCAAGTATAACCTCATATCATTTTGAACAGTTGATTAAAAATAATTATAACTTTATCTTTGAAACCTTGAGAAATCCAATCAAAAAAAGTCCCAACTTGTATTCTGAGTATTAAAATGAACCAGTGTTTTGCGCGGTCACCATTTTGAAATGTCATCAACAGCTCAACGTATATACCACAATTTACAGTACCTGAATAATCTTCACTCAACACTCTAATAATGCATGCTGTCTGACACTAAAGCTATTCTGTGAGAAATATGCTTGTAAACAGCCCACACGTGTGTTATAATGTGTTTTGTTGTTGCTTTAATATCTTTGCACTCTTCCCTTAATGTTTGAAGAACTGGAAGGATTCTTACTTCACACTCTGACAAACTGGTGTCAATATTATTTTTGGATCTTTAGTTGTTGTTTTGGAATCAGTATGATCCTCAGAGCAATGGACACTCCTATTAGTTGTGACATGAATGCTTCTTCCATTGACCATCACCACCTTTCCCCCAGTGGACATGGTGGTAGTGATGAGGGCACATCCTACACTGCTAGGTCAGGTGTGGTCCCCGCAATGCATATGACGAGGGGTTGGTGCCACCTACATCTACCAGATATGAGGATCCCGATTAGATGCTAATTTAGAATTCCAAATTCTCGGCGCTCCAATTTCCACTTTCTGGGACTTCCCGGAGTGGGATGCAAGCCCTTCACCTGTTGACTCAGACAACAGGCAGCCCCCTCTTGAGTTCTGCCACTATCTGCCTAATCCAGCAGGATGGTAAAGTCAAAGTGAGAATTGAACAAACAGTGTTTTGATCCTTTGGATACTCAGAGATTTGTTTTTAAAAAATCTGTTATCAATTTGTGGTTAGATATTTCAAACACTTTATAGGATTACAAGAAATCCTGATACTTAGGCATGGCATTTCATAACATAATTGAAGTTTATTTTCCCATTGAGTGTAGACCATTGCAACTGAATATCAAGCAGTGGCTAAGGAATTTTGGCCAGTCTTGTCCAGATTTATGCTCAGTCCCATCATAATTCTGGTGTTTTCATTTAGCACACAGGTTTGTTTGCGTTTTAACCCTTTACTGACAAAGCAGCAGTCAAATCAATTGCTCATTCTCACTCACTGATGAAAGAAACGTCCAACACCAAAACTCACTCCTGCTCATCCCACCAAGTGGTACTTAACACCTGGAATTCTCTCCCAGGGAGTGGATATAAAGGAGTGGAAATTATGCTGCAAATGTACGGAAATCTATTCAGAGCCCATTTCTAGTAGTTCTTCTTGCTCTGGGTACCAGACCTCAAGAAGGCCATATTGGCCTTGAAGAGGATGGAGTATAGATTCACCAGAATGATACCAGGGTTTAAAAAAAAAATTAAATTAGGTTTCATAGATGACGCTTCTATTCCAAATTTGTATATATGTACTAGAAATGCATTAGCTGTGACCTCATCAATCTTGAAGGTGTGTTTAGGGATATTATTTCTGTGTGTAGAGCTGTGTATCGATTATTCTGAAAGAAAAATACTTTAAAACATTCAATTTAATAGAAAATTAATAATTCTTGGGGATATTGATGAACTCTTCTAATTCTGCTGCTATGTCAAATAGCCTTTATAATTACATAAATACAGGAGATGATGTTACCTCTTAACAGCGGAACCTAATAAATGAGAGTTTGTGAGAATGAGAACACAGCCTCTGAAAACCAAAAGTATCAAAAAGAGAAAATCTCAAGGGGAGGTGTTGAAAATGAAAGTATTTCGTACCCTGCTGTATTCCTTTGATCTTAAAAGAATAAAGGAGATTTGTTTGAGGTGTTTGATAGGGCAGATAGTGATAAACTATTTCCTTTGGTGGAATGAAGATTCCAGAACAAAGGGATGGGGGTCAGGACCTTAAAACTGGAGCCAGACTGTTCAGGGGTGATGTCAAGCAGCACTTCGTCAAAACGGAATGAAAATCTGGAACTCAGCATCAACAACAAATTGCAATTATGTAGCATCTTTAATGTAATAAAATGCTGATGCTGCATAGGACCATTCTCAAACAAAATTGGACAAGCTACCTTAAGAAATACTTAGACAGGTGACCAGGTTTGGTCAAAGAAGCAGAAGTTATAAAGGGCAGCATGGTGACTCAGTGGTTAGCACTGCTGCCTCACGGTGCCAGAGACCCGGGTTTGATTCCACCCTCAGGCGACTGTTTGTGTGGAATTTGCACATTCTCCCTGAGTCTGCGTGAGGGTCCTCCAGGTGCTGTAGTTTCATCCCACCATCCAAACCTGTGCAGATTAGACGGATTGGCCATGGTAATTGCAGGGTTACGGGGAGTGGGTTTGGGTGGGATGCTGTTCAGAGGATTGGTGTGGACTCGATGAGCCAAATGGCCTGTTTCCATACTGTAGTAACCTGTGATTTTAAAGACCATAAGGAGAGGTGGAGGTGTGTTTTATGGAAGAAATTCCAGTGTTTTGGGCCTGGACAGCTAGAGCACAGACCAAATAAGATATTAAGGTCACAGAAGCAAGGTGGGTAGTTTAAACAAATTGAATAGTAAAACATGCTGAATGGCCTCTTCCTGTTCCCATGTCACTAAACAAAGGTTAAATAATCATGATTCTCCAGAATATTTGGGATTTAAAGTTTCAGCTAATGTGAATGAATACTGTTTCTCTCATCAGTTGTATGTTTTTGTTTCACTCAATCCACGTCACGTACATTGACTGAAAGGTCTCACTTACCATTTTATATTCTTTCCAGGTCCGGTGAAAATCTACACTACCATCTCTCCTGTGCTGTATGACCATCCAACCACCTCCTACTGTCTCCATGTTACAGTACACCTGTGGAAAAAGACACTGAGTGGTTAGACACAACTGTGAGACAGAGAGAGAGAGAGCTGTGTGAAAGCTTCAATCAGTTTATGCAGCAATATCTTCCACACCAATCTTAATCATAGGCTTTAGGGTAGTAACGTTATTGATATCATTAATATAACAAAGATAAGGATAACATAGATGCATTTAAGAGAGGATAGATAAACACATGAGGGAGAAAGCAACAAAAGGAAATGTGAAGGTGAGATAAAGTAGAGAGGGAGGAAGTTTGTGTGGGCCATCAATACCACCATGGACCAATTTGATTGACTGGCCTGTTCCTGTACTTCGCGCTTGATATGAATCTCAAAGTAGATTAATATTAAGAATAATCCCCCACTTAATGTTCTTATAATTGAAAAGTGTCTTTCTGTAATAAAGTAAGTGTTTTACTTGTGAAGTGGAAGAGATTGGATGAGGGAGGCTGAAGAGTACATCATTTCTCAAAATATCCCCAAGAGATTTTAACATTGGTGTCCCACTGATATATTTGTACAGTAACTTTCACACAGGTCATTTATGCTGAGATGCTGGCTTCAGACTCAAGCTAAACCCATCACTCAATGTTGACAGGTACTTATAAAACAATAAAAGCTCCTAGAGACTCAGCTTGTTAGCATCAATGTGATGGATGTCAGTGCTGGGGAATTGAATACATCTCCCAGACACTGATTTTAACTCTTCCCTACTGCTGCTAGAAGCTGGAGTCGGGGTGGGGGAAGTGCAAAGGACTGCAGTTTGAATGAAATCTCCCCCCTACACAATCCCACTGTCTTCCCACTGGGCCATGGTTATGATTCATTGGAGTGGGTGAGGAATAGACAGCCACAGAAGGTCCTTCTGTAAACGCGCAGATGCTAAATGGGGCTGTCTCCCCCTGTCCCCACAAACCAAGGCAAAACACCCTCAGGTGCAGTCTGTGGTTAAGGAGAGTCCCAGCATGGTAAATTTCAATTGACATTATTTTTGGAGTTTCTGTATCAGGGTCAAGAGGAGCAAAACATTTGGACATCATAAGGAATCCTCAAGCCTCCCACGCCTTGATCAGTATTTGGATTTAATGTGCAATCTTTGAAAAAGGAGACAGAGGTTTAGGGAAGGAATTTCAGGGCTGAGGGCCTCAGCATGAAGGCACAGACACAACGGTGAGTCATTTAAAATCAGGGATGCTCAAGAGGCCAGAATTGGAGGCTGCAGATATACGGAGAGTTGTGGGGCTAGAGAGTGCAGAGATAAGGTAGGACAAAGCCATGTAGGAATTTCAAAACAACACATTCTGTACATTTCAGACAATTCTTATGTACAACAAAGGGATTTAGACACGTGAACATCAATTGCTATTCTGAAGAAATCAGCCCAGATTCCTATTTCAATGTGCCAGCAGGTATTTTTCTTGCCATTAACACATGACTGATGTCATGGCAAACAGCCAGAATGGTCACATATTTCTCGTAATATCATTGTTGGGAGCTTACTCCTAACAGTACAGCTGTGAGCAGCTGGTTAATGTGAAGTTAATAGCCTGTACTGGATTCAAGGAAGTTTAATAAGTGTTGATAATGTTATTCCATCAGATATAATTCTACCGAGAGCCATTGGGTGTGAGTATTCTGTACTCGAGAGGGTCAAATTACATCATACACCAAAAGTGTGAAACTTGGCACAACCAAGTGACTAAATTAAAGTCTCTTTACTTTGTCCCATTAGTTTTTCATTTAAATCTTATGATTTGAATCAAATAAATACAGTGTAAGTGATGGTGAAATGTGGTGCTCAGATCAATGAGTTGAGACTGGGAGAGGCTGACATAGAATTGTATTCAGAACTGTTCCATCAGTGAGGGTGAATTTTTTTTCATTCATCCATGGGATGAGAGCGTCGCTGGCTAGGCAGCATTTATTGCCCATCCCTAATTGCCCAGAGGGCAGTTAAGAGTCAATCACATTGCTGTGGGTCTGGAGTCACATGTTGGCCAGACTGGGTAAAGATGGCAGTTTCCTTCCCTGAAGGACATTAGTGAACCAGATGGGTTTTTCCACCAATTGACAAAGGATTAATGGTTTTATAATTCTCAGCTTAATTTCTTCCTTTTACAAATTCATGTGATTTCTGTCTGATGGTAGTAGTCAGCTTCAAGCAGAGTGAAGTTTCAAGAGGATGAGGAATGCAGAATGGATGGGATGTTTCAGACCTGTAGTATTTTAACTCCTTGTTTTGCTACCAGAACAGACTGGTAAAAGCACAAAAGGTAGGTGTTAGGAGGCAATGATTGGTCAGCTCTTGGCCATTCATTGACTTCCAAATAATTGGTAAAATTGGGAGTCTTGTGGGAGTGGAAATGTAAGAGGGCGGGAGGATATAGTGAAGGGCTCATTATACCTTTACTCTAAGAATATTGACCATGTGCAAAAGAAACTATGTCATTATGACATCAGATCACATGGAAGTGTAAGGCCTGTAAGGTTCCAGAAAGATGTTCTCTCTTGCTGTGCCTTGTAAATGGTTATGTTAACTAAAGCTTGCTAAATATTCACTTGACAGAGTGTAGCTGTCATCTTACTACACAATGGGAACAGTGGCCGGACTCATGGCACTAGAGGCAAGTGACCAAGAGTGCCTGAAGTGGAGAGTAGTGGTAGTACAATGTTACAGGTGAAGCACAAAGTCAATCCAGAGTTGGAGGAAATACCCAAAGAGAAGCTCAGTGACAACACAGATCAGTGATCAAGGGACTCAAGATTTACATAGACATTGAATAGGAGAGAGGGAAAGCCCAGATAAAACTCACAGCAGGAAAAATTACAAGGAGTCAAGGAAAACAATCAGTTTGTCACAGTGAGTAATATATTCCTGCACATCAGAAATCTTTAGAGAAAGAGATAACCACACAAGAGAGAATACCTGTGCAACGGACTGCAAAGAGGGAAAGTCCATTCAAAATCTGATAAAACAAGGGAAAGAAAAGAAAGTGTTTGGGTCACAAAAACCCCACATAGCAAATCCATCTAGGATGGAAAAAGCCTTGCCTTTATTGGACCCTGTAGAGATTGTGTAGGGTCCTGGCCAAGCCATAAATTAGGTACAATGGCACTGACAGTTTACCAGATATGGTACTGTTTCAGGTCTCAGTGGAAAGTCAGACAATGACCAGGTCAGTATGTTGCTGAACCTAATCAACAGCAGCGCTGGTGTCATTCTCAGCAATAATGTATAGCAAAAGAAATTGTAACATCATCAGCAATAATGTAAGTAAAGCTTCACAGCCTATTTCAATTTAAAATGAAACCCATTTATAGTTGACAAAGTTTAATTAGAACAACCAAGTGGGAGTGAATCCCTCAATTCCTTTATAAATGATTTACACTGCATCACACAAAATTGTGTATGGAACTTTGAAAGAAGAATTCAGAGGGGATCACATTGTATTGGGAGTGTTGGATGAAGCTTGATCAGAATTTTTACAGTCTAAACAAGACCTTGTGTTACTACAAGTGGTGCAGTTCAGCAGACCAGACTTTTATCCACTGGTACAGAAAATCTTCCTGGAGTCGGTCATTGACTCTGACTCAGTCCACTTTATTAAGCAGAGGGTTTCTAACATGTTGGGATGGTAGCAGTTACAAGGGGAAATGGGAACTGCACCCTCCATTGCTTCTTGTTGTGACAGGGACGTTCCACATCAGTGTCTACAATGCTCAACCAGCAATGCTGAATACTAAGCATTACATTTATATGGCGACTTTCAAGCGATTTGCTAAAGCAGCAATAGGCAATCTCAACCTACCTTAAGAAACCTTGAGAACAGACCTTCCCTGTTTGCAACTGTCCACGATGTAGATACTACTGAGGATCAAAAGAAATTCTTCCAGGGGTTGTGTGTGTGTGTGTGAGTGAGACAAGTAATTTCAGGAAAGCTCTTTAGGGAAAAGGTTATGCTTAGGTCCAAATCAGGTCAGGCCCATATTCAACGTTCCCAAATGTTTAATCTATAATAAGCCAACAAAGGCCTGCAAATGAAACCCATTCTGAATCCATGAGCACTCACGCCACCTCACAGCAAAGAGAAAGAGGAAACCGTAAAACTTCTAACAACACAATGCCTTGGCAAAGCTCAAAGTTGAGCATCAAAAGGTGCTCGAACAAATCAAAGTTCAATAAGAATTGGAGCAGTCCAACTACTTCAAAGAGACTGTTGAAGTAAAGCCCCAGCTACTATCAATCATAATACCATCTAACCTTGGAGACTAAAAAGAAAAGGCTACAGAGATACATTGATGGAGGAAGAAGTCTCTGTTTCACAGTGGTATTCAGAACTTCAAGATCACTATTAGGTGTGGAAAACATTCTGTAGCAATTAGTCAATGATGATCTTACATTTAAGAAGGACACTGTTGAGAGAGAGAAGCAAAAATCTTCATTTATGTTTGCACAAGACCATCAGGTGGTAGCAAGCCCTTGTTAGGAATAGAGATCATCTGCAGAAAAAAGCCTGAGAAATACAGGTGAACATATAGCCACATTGCAATCCAGCCTGCAGCCCATAGTACATCATAAGAAATTCTTCTAGCTCCTGGTGCAGAAGTCTGTTTCTTTATTGTTGATGAACACGTCTACTTTCTGATGGAGTTCAAGAAAAGCTTTTGGCTAGGGAGAAGCTACCATTTGACTCCAAGCCTGCATTCACCGTTCCAGATAATTATAAGGGAATAAATAGATTCTGAGTGTCCTCCAAGAGAGCTGAGAATGCTGTTGGAAAATAATACCTCAGACCAGAGTTAAATGCAGGGATGGGGGTGGGGAGTAAGTTAGATTAAAGAGATAAATGCTCAGAGTTAAACGGTAATAGTTAAAAGGTGTACCTGAAAGAACTTTGGAGAGGGGGCACAATATGCAGTACAAGGTTATTTATACTTTTGTTCTAAGAAGGCTACTGAGCATGTATGAATGGAGCTATGTCATAGTAACATTCCAGAAGGATGTCATCTTTTACCCTACTTTATAAATACATTTGTTTAATAAAACTTATAAATGTTCACTCACAAGAGTGTAGACATCATCACATTCTGGTAGTTGGGGGAGGGAGGTGCAGAGCAGCTGGAGATAGGGAAGAGGACATATAAGGGGAGGAGAAGCATGGCAGAGACTAGGGGAAAGGAAAATATAGGGAGAACATTGTGGAGGAAATCTGTCTCCAGAGGGAGAGGGGAGTTATTCCAGGTCTGGGAGACAGCTAGTTCCCTTGAGGGATTTGGAAGATGTTCATACTCCTGCTAATCATACATGGGGAAGCTGTGAAATCATCCGGAAAGCTGGAATTTATCCTAAACTCTAGGCCAAGCAGGACATTCGGATGTCGCACAGAGATTCTTTCTGAGATTCATTCCTGTTCCTCCAGCATTCGCTATAATAATTCAAGAGTGGATTTTTCTGAGCTGCTTCAGTTCCAGCACCTGTGGGATTGGGCAGAGTAAGAATGGTGTATGCTATCACGCAAGCTGGTGATCCATGTCTTATTTACATCATGGGACCAAAATTTTCATTTTGAAAGGGGCCAGTCATTTTAATAAAGCAGTGCATTGTTCATTTGACTGTTGAGCTTCCCAGAACGGCAGCAGCCATATTACCGGTGAGGCACTTGGCAGTCAGTTTGAAGGCTGCTTATCCTCTCCGTTAAAGTCAATTGTGTGGCAAAGTAACTTAACCTTCCACTCACCCTGTTTCTGCTGGTAATCACCTTTCATTATTATATTCCAATAATTTCAGCACTGTGCAGTAATCTAGTTAGAGGCTCAGACTTAACTGCTCATCGATATAACTTGCTAAAATTTAACTGGGACTGCATAGTAGCTTTGCATTAATGATCATGCAGACAATGGCCAGAGAACAAAGTGCATTTCTAAAGTGCGTTTAGTGTACCAAAATATCCCAAAATCCTCCACAGGACTGTTCGGAAATTGACACACCAAGTCAAATAACCAACAGCTTCCTCAAAGAGGTAAGTTTTAAGGACTGTCTTAAGAGGAAAGAGGGAAAGGCAGATTAATAGAAGGAATTCCTGAGTTTAGGGTCCGGGCAGCTGAAAACAAAACTTTCGATGGTAGAGCAAAGAGCATGGGAGAAGCTAGAATTGGAAGAGAACAGAAAGACAAAGAAAACACATGGTTAAACTTGGGAGCAGCACCTCTAATTAAAAACCAGTTTAGAGCTTAGAGTTAAACTAAAGGCCATTGTCAATGTGATGCACTTAGCATATAGACAATTAATCATTTAGATAAGAAAAGCGCATTTCGAACACTTTTTGTAACTTTGCTAAACAAGTTGGAATATATGTATCAATGGCAACAATTATTTGTGACTTTCAAGCAAATGTCTATATTTAAGAATTTATTCTTGAAATGTAGGAATTGACAAACAAATTAAATAACTGCTTCGTAATTCAAGGTGCAAAGTGAGCACATGAACTAATTTCTGGTTGATTTAATCTTGGCGTATTTGCAATGCTCTATAGTTCTCCTGTCTCAAGTTTCAAAGCCTGTCTCTGTCTGTTTGCATATGCATGTGTGTGTGGGGTTGCTGGTCACTATAAATTGATTTTGACTCTGTACTATGTCATGTAATGGGACGAGTCACCAGGGCTTAAGACTATAAAGAACCACGCAGGAAGGAAAGACTTTTCACTTTGCTCATATCTGGTTCAAAAAAAGGAAGGAATGATTATTTTATTACCCTAGACATAACAAACAAACCTGAGAATATTTGACTTCCAGCACTGGAAAATCACACAACATTCATTATGAACATTTCACCATCATTGGCTCTGGTTCGGATGTACCGCACTAGACTATGGGCCAGCAGGAGAGTATGGCATTGAGAATGAATTGCCCATCCTCCCCATGACCCCTCCCAACATTACTTTTCAGTTGACAAACTGACACTGAAGTGTCCAATATAGAGTGCTGGGTTTTTCCAACAGGTAATGTGACATTCCACAATACTGAGCCATCTATCCTTGGCCCAAATTAAATATTTCAACATCTGTTTTTGGATCCTTCTCTATATTGGAAGAAAAACCTATCAGAGCTTATGCCATGCATGTTCCAATAGGTATCTTGTCTATTTTCTACAGTAATTTAGGTTTAATGAAGAGATAGCTGGAGACATGAGTAATAAAAGCACAAAGATTAGATATTAAAACGCACCAGAGCAGCAAGGTGAAGTGGAGTAAGAGAGCTCTTCTCAGCTCCACATTAATAATGCTGCCATCTTGCACTTGTGAACCCACTCCATGGCCTTCTTCCCCGTAAACATACTGTGTCAGTTTTGCACTTTCCCATGCCCACTAAACTGCCACACAGGACATGGTTAGGGCTTGCAGTATGCCTTTCATCTTTTGCTGATGCGAAAGGATCAATATATCCCAATCCTCTGGACCATTCCTTCCACCAATTGGTTTGTGTCCCATATCTAGCGCCAATGAATTACTTAAGTTTCAAACTAAGTTCTACCATGCAATTCTTACCTTCTTAGGTTCTGACATGTTATTGATGCGAATGGTGTAGACCCCACTTGTGTTGTGACCACTCTGATAGGCTTCTGCGCAGTCCCGGAACAGTTTCTCCTCTTTAGTGCCTTTCATTACAACTGGAGAGAGAAAAGGTACAACTGGTCATGCAGGGTTCTCTCATGGTCTGGAGAGAAGTCTCATTGAATGGGGAAATAAGCTAACACATCTCCAACTGAAGACGGAGTACATGGTCTGTTTGAGTGACATTGTTTTCTTTGGATTCCAGAGCACTGACAAGCTGTACTAAACTACAGTAGGACATGGGCTTTGCTCCTCTGATTTTATCAATCCTGCTAAGTTCTATGTCCAGGTAAACACTCAAATCAGTGTGGCATCAACTAGCTGTTTTTATTTCCAGCTCCCCCACCCCACAGCTACAACAATTGCTTTGTCAGGGATGCCTTCTTTTGGATAAGATATTAAAATAAGATTGCACCTGCCCGCTCAGATGAATGTAAGAGATCCAGAAATATTATTTCATACAGGAGGCAATGGCCAACTGGTAATTTCAGTTGACTAGTAATTCAGAAACCCAACTTAATTATCAAAGGGCATGACCTCAAATCCTACTATGACAAATAGCAAACCTTGAATTTAATTTAAAAGACCTGGAATTAAAAGCTGTTCTAATGGTGACTATGTAACAACTGTTGTTCACCAATGCCCTTTGGGGAAAAACATTTGCTGTTCTTACCTGGTTTACATGCGACTGCAGGCCCACTGCAATAGAACGTAGAACATAGAACTTAGAACAGTACTGCACAGTACAGGCCCTTCGGCCCACAATGTTGTGCTGAACTTTTACCCTAAACCTAAGGTCGATCTAACCTCCACCCCTACCTTATACTATCATCCGTATGCCTATCTAATAGCCGCTTAAATGCCCCTAATGAGGCCGATTCCACTACCCTCTCCAGCAATGCATTCCACACCCCTACCACTCTCTGAGTAAAGAACTTACCTCTGACGTCTCCCCAATATCTGCCTCCTTTCACTTTAAAACTATGTCCCCTCGTAAAAGCTACCTCCACCCTAGGAAAAAGTCTCTAGCTGTCTACTCTATCTATACCGCTGATCATTTTATACACCTCTATCAAGTCACCTCTCATCCTTCATCATTCTAAAGAGAAAAGCCCTAGCTCTCTCAACCTTTCCTCGTAAGACCTTCCCTCTATTCCAGGCAACATCCTGGTAAATCTCCTCTGCACCTTTTCTAACGCTTTCAAATCTTTCCTGTAATGAGGTGACCAGAACTGGACACAATACTCCAGATGTGGCCGAACCAGGCTTTTGTATAGCTGGAGCATGACTTCACGGCTCTTGAACTCAATCCCTCTATTAATGAAAGCTAACGTGGTTGAACTTTACATGTCCTCTGAAATGAAACAGCAAGCCACTCCATAGTATCAAAGTGCTACAGGGTGTAAAGAAAGGAATGAAACTGACCAATCACTTGACAATGATCTAGGCATGAGAAACGACAATGGCAAACACAGCCCTGTCAACTCTACAAAGTTCCCTCAACTAACATCTGGGGGCTTGTGCAAAAATTGTCAGAGCTGTCCCACAGACTGGTCAAGCAACTGCTTGAGATAGTGATAATCATGGAAACACACGTTACAGACAATGTCCCAATCATCACCATCACTTTCATCATCCCTGGGCTTATTCTGTCCCATCAGCAGGACAGTCCCAGCAGAGGTGGCAGCATAGTGTTATTTACTTGGGAGGAAATCGCTCTGGGAGTCCTCAATATTGACTCTGCACCCCTATAAAACACGTAGCATCATGTCAAACATGGGCAAGAAAACTTGCATCTGGTTATCACTTACTACCAACATTGTTCAGATGCATCTGTCTATTCTAGTATTGGTAGCAGTGACCATGCACAGTCCTTGTGGAAATGAAGTGCTGATTTCACATCAAGATAACCTCCATCGTGTTGTATGGCACCACCACCATGCCAAATGGAACAGATTTAAACTGATCTACCCACTCAAGACTAGGCACCCATTGGTAACTGTGGGTACAATGGTAATCAACCAAAATTTGTAACCTTATGATCTTGCATATACCCCAGTCTACTATTACCATCAAGCTAGGAGATCAACCCCAGTTCACTGAAGAGTGCAGGAGGGTAGATCAGGAACAGCACCACGCATGCTTAAATAAACTGTCAACCTGGAAAAGCTACAAAACAGGATTACTTGCGTACCAAGCAGCAGCATGCAATAGACAGGCTTAAGCAATGCCATGGCCAATGGATATGCAGGTCTGCCACAAACAACTGCAAATGGTGGTAGACAATTAAAAAACTCACTGAAGGTGGAGGTTCCAAAGTGTCTGAATCTTCTCTGATGAAGGTACCCAATACATTAGTGCTAAAGATTTGCATCTATCTTCAGCCAGATATGTCAAATGGATGATCCATCTCAGCCTCCTACAGAGATCCAACAGAGGATCCAAGCATCACAGATGGCAGACTTCAGCCAATTCAATTCACTCCACATAATATCAGTTGGAGGCACTGGATAGTAAAAAGGCCCTGACAACATTCTAGCAAGAATACTGAAGACTAATACTTCAGAACTTGCAGCTCCCTGGCCAAGCTCTTCCAGGACTGTTACCACACTAGCATCTACTTGACAATGTCAAAAATTGCCCACGTATGCCCCATACACAAAAAGCAGGACAAATCCAATCAATGGCCAATTACTATGCCATTGGTCTGCTCTTGATTATCTGCAAAGCGATGGAAGGAGTTGTTGACAGTGTTATCAAGCATCACATGTAAAGGAATAACCTGCTCACTGAGGCTCAGTTTCGGTTCCACCAAGGCCACTCAGCTCATGACCTCATTACAGCCATGATCCAAACATAGACTAATGAGCTGAATTCCAGGGGTGAGGTGTGAGCAACTGCCCTTGATATCAAGGCAGTGTTTGATCTGGTGTGGGGTCAAGGACCACTAAAAAAAAACGGAGTCAATGGGAGCAGGGGAAATATTTCCATTCTTTAGACTCATAACTTTGTAAAGGAATCAGAAATAGTAGGAACTGCAGATGCTGGAGAATCCGAGACAACAAGGTGCAGGGCTGGATGAACACAGCAGGCCAAGCAGCATCATAGGAGCAGAGAGGCTGACGTTTCGGGCCTAGACCCTTCATCAGAAAAGGGGGAGGGGAAGGGGGTTTTGAAATAAATAGGGAGAGAGTGGGAGGCGGATAGAAGAGGGATAGAGGAGAGGATAGGTGGAGAGGAAACAAACAGGTCGAAGAGGCGGGGATGGAGCCAGTAAAGGTGAGTGTAGGTAGGGAGTTAGGAAGAGGATAGGTCAGTCCAGGGAGGACGGACAGGTCAAGGGGGCGGGATGAGGTTGGTCGGTAGGAGATGGAGGTGCGGCTTGAGGTGGGAGGAGGGGATAGGTGGGAGGAAGAACAGGTTAGGGAGGCAGGGACGAGCTGGACTGGTTTTGGGATGCGGTGGGGGGAGGGGAGATTTTGAAACTT